TATATATATATATATATATATTAATATAATATATATATATATATATATATATAATATATATATATATATATAATAATATATATATATATATATATATATATATATATATATATATATATATATATATATATATATATATAATTATGTTATATATAATTATAAATAAATGGTTACATACTCGCGGAATATCGCACCTACGTTGGCGATTAATCATGCGTGTGCGTCGACGAATATCCATTGCGTGAAAATATGAAGCGCGCATTCGGCGTGCTGCGTCGCGAAAAATAAAAATCCGTCATGCAATCCTATTTTCGGCGAATCTGAACTTAACATTTTCTGAAAACTTTTTAAAAATATATTTATTATACTTTTTGAAAGTTTAATATTAAATATTTCGATGAGGAATTTTATAAATTAAATTGTGAATTTACTTAAAATTCTATTTATGTTTCTTTGGGGGATATTTTTATTTAATATTTTTGTATAATATTTTTATTATTTATAACTGATATAATTTCGCGCGTAAATCTATGTATGTGTATGTCAAAGATTGTGACTCTGAATTCATAATACGCTTCCAAAATCCGTAGAAATATTTGGGGAAATCTCATTACGAAACACCCCGTGTGTGCTTGCGAATCGAAAGAATGACGATCTGAGAACGTCTTGTCGTCTGGATTTCTGTCGACGCATTCGGGCTCCCGATCGTACGTGCTCGACGAGCAGCCCTTGTTGCGGGCCGCGCGTAAATGTAAAAATAAATTAGAATTAAGGCCAGTGTTACGTGTATACGCAATGTACTACTCATATCATACGACGGATACGTCGAATAAAGACGCCGGCCGTCGTCCGCGCGAGCGGCGAACTTCATCACGGCGAGAAACCGAGAGACGCGAAGTCGCGAAGAACGCGAAAGCAAGTAATCTCGTCGCATCGTCCGGTTTTACCCCCTCGCTCCCCAATCGTTAGACAACCTCCGAATAATTTCTTCCTCGAGCCGTGAAATATCCTTCGTTTGGTTCGATGTTAATCGCGGAATCTGTACTTTTCGATCGATCTCGCGCGATCACGCGAGATCGAACGTGCGTTACGGAGAAGTCTGTAAATCCATACATCTGATACTTCCGATGACAACACCATATGAATCCGGTGTATCGTTATACATGCCATGTCCACGACGACAAGTTACTTCAACACACGCACATTCCGCAACATCCTTCCGGGGATCGATCAGAATTTAAATCTTCCCAAGTGAACGAAGAATTTATTTCGATCGAAGTCGCGCTCGTTTCTTTCTCCGCAATATTTAATCTTTGGTGATGTTGTTTCGAAGCGATGAGATTTGAAAGATTGGATTAAGTTCGCCAAACGATTCGAAGCGACAAAAAGGTGATTTTGCAATGATTGATCGATCCTCCACGTTTCTAGGCTTACTTCTTTTGCCGTTTTTATTTTGATAGACGGATTTTACACACGCGAGATATATATCTATAAAGAAAAGTCTGTAATAAATATAATAAGCGTACAAATAAAAACTTTACGCCATTTACAGCTCGCTTCTTCCATTCTTCTGCTGGGAGAAAAAAATTCAAATTCACACTAAAATGTACACTAAAAAAGGAATGTTTATTGTGAAATGTTCAATAAGATAAAAGATACAAGAATAATCGAAAAATATGCCAAACTTATCCAATGTTCTATTATACTAATTTTTTTTTAAAATATATAAATCAATCCTTAAGTTTTCTAAATTCTACATCATAATAAATTGTAAGTTGAAGCTGCTGTGTCCTTACAGCAGCCATATCAGAAAATTATGTATTTTCTTACAGTATACATTCCGAAAGCCGATTATTTGCATGAAACAAAGCTAATTTATTTCGACGAACAATAGAAGTGATAAAAACTCTATTAGCAATAAAAGTCATTACGATTTCCCGCTTTTGACGTCATAATCAACGACAGCGAGGAATTAACAGTCACAAATTATAATTCTAAAACTCTGTAGTGTTCAATCTGGTAACTTCTTACTGACTTAAACATTTTATATCTTACAAAATGTGGTAAATCTCTGCATTTCTATAGCTGTTATAAATTCACTAACATGTTTTTAATTCAAGGATGGTACTTTAACAGTCATTGTTCTCCTTTTCATCGGAAGAGCTGAAAAAGTCGCTGGAACTGGAACTGGAAGTGTCTGATGTCATAAGTATATCAGCCTTCATGTTGGACAGATCATACACACTGTTGTCATCAGAGGAGGAGCTACTCTTGTCAGAGAGATATCTTTTCATGGAATCATTTGAATCGTCGGATTCAGAAGTCTCGGTGTCAGGATAATCGTTTCTCCAATTGGATTCTGAATTCGAGTCTGAAGAATCTTTCCAATCCTCGTAATCCGAGCATTCATCATATATGTTCAATTTCGGATGCTGTACCAATATCCTAGCGCTGTCGAACCATACATCCTCATCCATTTCCACATAATACAGATCGTAAACGTAAGTATTATCTTTCCCCTGAAATATATACACATCCATTATAACTATACATATTTTATTTTATATATATATATATATATATATTTATTTCGCATCTACAAATTTTACCTCTTTGTATTTTATTTAAAACTGTAAAATGTGATTGTTATTGTCTTCTTTATTGTTAATTTTATTTCTTTTAATTTTATTACAATTAGTTTGCATCTGTACTATAAATTTCATTTCTCTATATTTTACTTCTACATTTGTGAAACATTGTCTTTTCTTAACTTTTTATTTATTTCTACCGTATGCAAAATTAACTTCTTATTTTTATTACAAATTGCATGTGTCAGTATGCAAATTTATATCATTATCATACAACTTACTCTTTGCCGTTGTTCTCTTTTGTTTAAAAAATCATTGCTCCAGGTATCTTCCAAATCTACGAACGTCACCATTTTCTCCTCAGAGGGTCCTTCCTCAAGGGGGTCCGGAGCATTACTCTTAAGAATATCGCAGAGATTCTCAGGTTTCCCTTTCCCTCTTGATGGGTTTTCATATTTGCTAATTTTGATCTTTTCTACCGTAGACTCCATGTCTATCCATCTAGGCTTTTTCGCCAGATATGGTTTTATTTCATCATCGGACATTCGCTTATAAGACTTAGACGCCCCCAAACTCTCGAAATGTATAACTTTTGGCACAACCTTATGGAAATCCTCGGACTAAAACCAAATCACCAAATATTTACTGTGTTAATTTTCCATAATTTATTCAACTTTTTAAACACATTGTTAACATTAACAGTGTTAAATAATCAGCATTAATCATTAACGGCAAGAAGTTATTAAATTTTAAATAATAACCATTTTGTTAACACATGGAGAAATTGATACATGTCTGGCTAGTAAGACATTTGCCTTAAAAATTCTTTTTAACAATTTACTTATTTTTATCTGTAAAGTATCTGTGTGTGTACAGACACACAACTTTGATCTTTTCCAAATTCTAAATAAATTTTAAAATGTTCTAGAATATTTCTAGAATGTTTAAGGGTGACTAAATAATTTCTAATCTACTTATTCTAACTTGTCCTAATCTAAAAGAAAAAATATCAGACATGCTCAAACTATATTACAGTTGTGAGTCACACAGCATGTATATCCAAGGGACGTTCGGAAGACATTCCAAAGCTATCTTCAGCATGTCTTCTGGACGTCTTTTGGATATGTGTGCTGTGTGAGATATGCATATAAAAGAATTTAATGTTAAATCCTTATTAAATCCTTATTAATATGAATTGAAACCATTTAATATTCTTCCAATATATGAGTGTGCACATATAACAAACAAAACAGACACGTTGTTTAAATTTTGAAATATGCCAATGTCACGAGGACGATTTCGACTGTTTCCAAAAAGTTACACACACAAAAGACAAGTTCAAATATATATATTAATATATATATACATATTTAAACTTAATTATATATATATATATAATTATATATATATATATATATAATTAATTAAATTAGTAAATCATGATGTATTTCGTTAAATTCTTACGACATCCAAGAGCGTGCCGGCGAAGTGGGCGACTGTTTTCAGGTCGGGATCGGCTGAATCCGAAGAAAGAAAATGCGTTCTCGGACGTTTGCACCCAACTACCAACGAACTTAACGGCACATCTTTGGATTTTCGTTTTACACGCAAGACTGTATTCATTTTCAAGATGTTCTAGATAAACTACCAAGATATTACATTAGTACATAATAAATCGTAGCAAGAATAACCACGCAATCATCATTTACTTACCAGCGCAAATCAGAACAATCCAGAAGAACACTCTAGTGGACTGATGAACTCCAAATAACCTCAAATAACCACACACGAACGCTCACGGAAAGTAGCTGCCGTGATATATATATATATATGTACCAGTGATGCAAACTCGAGCCGGCCAGTACCAGGGCTCCGTGGCATGCCTTCCCCTACCACGGAGCCCTGGTGCTGGCCGGCTCGAGTTTACATCACTGCTACTACGCAAGTCAATGACGTGACGTTTATCTAAAGGCCGGAGCACAGACTTTTACATAAAGCAT